GTTCCTTCATGTCGTCGTGGGAGGCAAACAGCACCAGCAGCAGCAGCAGCAGCAGCAGCAGCAGTGTTGCTTTGCTTTTGCTGCAGCTAATGATGGACCTGTTTGCATCTCACTACGACATGAAGGAACACTTTGTCACCTGGGCCAGCGGGGACCTGCTATGTAAACCCTAAACCCTAAACCCTAAGCCTTAAACCCTAAAGTTGAATTGGCCAGCCAGCACGTAGGGTTTGGGGTTTAGGGTTTGGGTGCTGCTGCAGCTCTCATCAACATCTGCAAAAAGTACGAGGCCTATATAAACCTCTCTGCTCACGACCCTATAGCAAAAATTGTGAGCTAGCAGCAGCAGCAGCAGCTGCTGCTGCTGCTGCTGCTTTTACTGTTGCTGCCGCTGCTGCTGCCGATACTGCTCGGGCTGTTGCTGCAGTTGCTGCTGCTGCTGCTGCTGCTGTTTTCGACTTTGCTAGGCAACCAGGGCAGCATGTACGCGTGGCGTTGCTGCAAGCTGGCGGGCTGTGAGGGTTTAGGGTTTAGGGTTTAGGGTTTGTGGCTAGGTTCAAGCCGTGAGCGACGGCCGGGACCCTCCCTTCTCCAAACAAATGGTGGAAAGCGCCAAGGCAGCAAAAACCTCCTACACTTTTAGGGTGGAGCACCGCTTCCTCATCACGTAAACCCTAAACCCTAAACCCTAAACCCTAAACCCTAGCCGCCAAACCCTAAACCCTAGTCGCGTTAACGCCTAGTTTTGGAAGTTCGAACGTCTTGGGGCTCTGGCTCTCACGGCATGTATAGAAAGTGTTTCCAAATGTGACACTTACGGCTGAAAGGGTTTAGGGTTTAGGGTTTAGGGTTTGCGTGCAGCGAGAGAAACTTGGTGTACTGCAGCATCACGCACGCGCCTGTGCCCCAGCGGCTGGCACTGCGGCAGCGGGCGGAGACAAAGGTAGGGTTTAGGGTTTAGGGTTTAGGGTTTAGGGTTTGCGTAGCAAGCCTTCTGCGTGACGAGCCTTTTTTGGTAGAAATGCGAGCCTCTTCTGCGTCTGCAGCTTCCGGAATAGTTTTTACACAAGTCTATAGGGTTTAGGGTTCAGGGTTTAGGGTTTAGGGTTTAAGGCTAGGGTTTGAAGGGTTGCTGCTGCCAGTTAGCTGAGGAGCCCGTGGCGTGCTGCGTTCCGGGGCAGTGGGTTGCGTTCAAGAACCCACGTTCAGGGTTCAGGGTTCAGGGTTTAGGGTTTAGGGTTTAGGGTTTAGGGTTTAGGGTTTGGGGCGTGCAGGACGGGCAGCGGGTGCTGTCGGTGCTGCTGCGCTACGCAGCCCCCGAACGCCAAGACCTGCGGCAGCAGCTAGCTGAGTGTCTCCGTTTGAGTCCCCCTTTGACAGCAGGGTCTCCTGAGCAGCTAGCTGCGCAGCTAGCTGCTGTGGCTAGCCACATGGCTAGCCAGGAGCCCCCGGACTTTGCTGCTGCTGCGCTGCTGTCTTCCTGCTGCAGCAGCATCAGCAGCGGCGCCCTCAGCACGCCCCAAGCTGCTGCTGCATGCATGCGCTGGATTGCAGAAGGCATTCTCGCCAGAAAGAAACACAGAAACTACCTGCGACAGATCCAGGTCCCCACGAGGGTTTAGGGTTTAGGGTTTAGGGTTTAGGGTTTGGGCCAGGGGCCTGGGCGTCAGGCTAGGGTTTCGGGTTGTGGGCGGGGTGGGGTCTAGGGGCTGCGGGATGGAGGCTAGGGCTCGGGGTTTAGGGGCTAGCGTTTAGCGATTAGGGTTTAGGGTTTGGGGTTCAGGTTTGGGGTTAAGGGTTTGGGGTTTGGGGTTTAGGGTTTTTAGGGGCTTCAAGGCCTTCTTGGTCTTTTGGGTTTCTTAGTGCGTGGCTTTGGGGGGTCTGGCGCCCAGCTTTAGAGGCTCGACTTTGGGGTTTAGGGTTTAGGGTTTAGGGTTTTGCTCAGCGCCGGTGCCTCAGCCTCAGGCTCTTAAGCAGAGGCCTCTACGGCTTGCGGGGGCGCAGCAGCCCCGCACTACAGAGTCTAGGGTTCAGGGCGCAGGGTTTAGGATTTTTAAGGTTTAGGGTTTAGGGTTTAGGGTTTTGCGCAGAGGCACCTGGACACAATTCAAAACTTGCAAAGAGAATATGACATTGGCCTTCGCAACCGAATGGAGACACTTAAAGAGGCGGCGGAGGTTGCGGAGACCCTCACTGTGGAGCAGCCCATAGAACTCGCCGCCAGAGTAAACCCTAAACCCTAAACCCTAAACCCTAAACCCTAGGCCGTAGGCCCTAAACCCTAGGCCCTGAACCCTAAGGGGGTTCCAGCTGGTGCGCAGCTGTGACTCAGTAGAACCAGCAGCTAAGAAGGGACGGGCGGGCTGCTGAGGTTCAAGATCTAGGGTTTAGGGTTTAGGGTTTGGCTGCTCAGCGCTACAACTTTACCCTCGCCTTCCCGTCGCTGCGGAGAAAACAGCCCGAGAAGCAGGAAAACTTGGGTGTCTCCTTGACGTTTAAATATTCTGTTTTGCTGCAGCGAGAGGTGCTTTTGACGGAGGTTTAGGGTTTAGGGTTTAGGGTTTAGGGCTTCGGGTGTGGGGTCAACTTCAGCAGAGTGTAGCGAGACCCTCCGTTTGTCTCCTGCTTGTCTCCTCAAAAGTATTTATTTCCTTTTTTCTATTTTTGCCTCTTTTAATTTTTGTTTCTTTTGGTATTTCCTTCTATCTCCTTTTATTTCGATCCCCCACACCACTTGGGGCTGCGTGCGCACGCGTCCCACCCCGCATGCACACGTACTCCCGGGGCTGCGCGCGCATGCGTTCTGGGGCCGCATGCACGTGCGTTATGGGGCCGCATGCGCATGCATTTTGGGGCTGCATGCGCGTGCGTTGGGGCTGCATGCGCATGCAGGTGCTGGTGGGGGCCGCGGCGTCGCTGGCCCCCGAACAACTCGTGGAAACCTTCGTGAGCTTTTTGCTGCTGCCCGGAGAGGGCTGGAGGGTCTCTGCGACTTTGCGCAGCGCGCGGGGCGAAAGGCTTTTGGGGCAAGAAGAACTTAGCGCAGAAAGGGTTTTGTTTTTGAGGAGACAAAACAACAAGTGTCTCTTCGGCCTCATCAAAACCCCCGCAGAGCCCCAGGGGCTCTTCACCGCCAACGCCCTCCACTTCGTCCAGGCCCTCCAGGAAATGCGCTGCTCCTGACCCAAACCCTAATTTAGGGTTTACGCGCCCCAAAACAAACCCTCTTCTATGGCGCAGCATGGGGAGGAATGCGACCCTTCGAGGGCCCGGGGACGGGTCGGGTCACCAAACCCTTTTTCAGGGTTTGGGGCAGGGCCGGGACAGCAAACCCTCTTTTGGTGTCCTGGGTTTAGGGTTTAGGGTGTGGGGTTGGGGTGCTAAATGCTTCTTTAGGGTTTCGGGGGCTAGGGTTCAGGATACGAAACCCTTTTTCAGGGTTTGGGACGGAGGGCACAGAGGAAGGGCGCCTGCAGCCCAGCCCAAGGCGGCCCCTGTCATTAGGGTTTAGGGTTTTACGACACGGCAACCTACTTTTGCGAGGGTTTAGGGTTTTGTCGAGGGTCTAGGGTGTTACAGCACGGCAACCTACTTTTGCGAGGGTTTAGGGTTTTGGCGAGGGTTTGAGGTTTTGAGGGGAGTTTGGGTCGTGGGCCAGGGGCTACTAGGGTTTGGGCGGGGGCTTAGGATACTATTCAAAGAGCTCGAGCTTGAGCGAGGGTTTAGGGTTTGAGGGATGGTGTAGATTTATTATTAGGGGTTAGACTCCCGCCGAGCGTTTAGGGTTTTGCTGAGGGTTTAGGGTTTCAGTACCAACGCTTCTAAATATGTTCTGTACATGGGGACGGCCAACCCTGCAGCTGCTGTTGCTGCTGCTGCTGCTGCTCTAATAGTTTGGGTGGCCTCCAGGGCCTCTAGGGGGCCCCAAGTTCTCGTGAAGGCCCCAGAGGGCCCCCGTGGGGCCCTGGGGGTCCCTTGGCAGCTTTCTGGCAGCTGCGCAGGGGCCCCCCTAAACCCTTGTGGGGCCCCTCTGTGAAGCCTAAGCCCTAAACCCTAAACCCTAAATTTAAGCCTTTGGTGGGCCTTCTAAGGGTCGAGACAGGCACACTGCTGCGCTGCTTCCTCAAACCCCCAACCCTAAACCCTAAACCCTAAACCCTAGCAGTTGTGTCCCAAAGCTTTACATGTGATGAACGCAAAATTTGCCTTCAAGGCGAGCAGGGATTCTTTGAACTGAAACCCTAAACCCTAAACCCTAAACCCTAAACCCTCGCAGTGAAGCCGTGAGCAGCAGCAGCCGCATGCAGCCCCGAGACTGTTTGGCTTCTCCGTCAGCTTCTGCCAAGGAGGAGGATAAATATATATAAATAAATATAAATAAATATAAATAAATCAAAATAAATAAATGAAAATCAATAGTTGAATTAAGGAGCAGCGAATACACTCCGACAGCCGCAGGAGTCTCAGGTGTACAGACACCGCAGCCGACTGGGGCGGGGGCCGACGCTTCAGGAGTTTCTTAAGGGTTTACGGTTTAGGGTTTAGGGTTTGGGTGTGCCCGTGGAAGGGGAAGTTGCTGTAGCTGCTGATGCAGCAGCAGCAGCAGCAGCAGCAGCTGCAGCAGCAGCAGCAGCAGCAGCCAGCGCTAGCTAGAGCTTGAGGTGTACGTACACCACAGCAACGCCTTGGGGCATGCATGACCCTCAGGTGCAAACCCTAACTCCAAAACCCTGGACCCCAAACCCTAAACCCTAAACCCTAGCTTCAAACCCTAAACCCTAACCAAACTCCTGGGTTTTTCTCTGGCTTCACTTTTCGCAATGGCTTTCCTGCTGGAGCAAATCTTCAACGCCCCCGCCGCAGCTCTGCAGGTCAGATAGGGTGTAGGGTTTAGGGTTTAGGGTTTAGGGTTTAGGGTTTGGTTTGCGGAGGCCAGGGTAGAGTTGCAAAGGGCCAAGGGTTTCGGTTGGGCTTTGGTCTTGAGCTAGGGTTTCGGGTTTAGAGTGTACTGCGTAGGGTTGAGAGCTATGTACCTAGCTAGGGCCAAGGGTTTAGGACCAAGGGTTAGGAGCTTAGGGTTTAGGGTTTAGGGTTTAGGGTTTAGAGTTTAGGGTGTAGGGTTTTGTGTGGGCAGGCCAGGGCGGAGTCCCTGCTAGGGGCCCCTGTCCCCTTGCTCTCCTGTCTCCTTCTACTTGTGGCCTTTTACGCGGCGCTGGGCGTGGTGGCCTTGCGCGGTAACCCTAAACCCTAAACCCTAAACCCTAAACCCTGATCGATTCGAGAGGTGACGTTTGCTGCTTCCCGTGGCTGCTGCATTTCATCTGGGGCGCCTTTTCCCGTGCTTCATGGGCCTGGCAATGAGGGTTTAGGGTTTAGGGTTTGGGGTGTGGGGTGAAGGGTCTGCAGCTCAGTGCCTAGGGTTTAGGGTCTAGGGTTTAGGGTTTAGGGCCTTCTGCTGAACGCCTGACCGTGGGGAAAAGCGCAAAAGCAGTGCCAGGACCAGCACATTATTCCTGATTGATTATTGATTGACTTAATTAATTAATTAATTAAATTAATTAAACTAATTTAAGTTAATTAATTAAATTCATTAATTTACTTGTGAGCCGCAGCGCTGCAGTGGGGGCTGTTTTCGCCGCGGGGTGTATCGACAGCTGGGTGTTTCCAAGTGTGTCTTTTGGGCCCTTCGGGGTCTGGCAAAACTCGCTGTCTCCTTTTCTTGAGAAACAAGGGGACAACGCAAACCCTTCCCTCGATGGCGGTGGGCCCTCTAGGGTTTAGGGTTTAGGGTTTAGGGTTGGCGGGCGAAAATTTGGGGGTCGGAGCTGCCGGGGTCGCTGAGAGACGCGTGTTTAGGGTTTAGAGTTTAGGGTTTAGGGTTTAAGGTTTAGCGCGGAGGCCTTGAGACGCAGGCTTTCCAGGGCTTGGCTTCGGCGTTTGACTGGGGTTTGTGGTTTAGGGTTTAGCGAGGGTTTGGGACTTGGCGAGGGTTTAGGGTTTAGGGTTTGTGGCTGGCGGCTGGGCTGCTGCTGCAGGAAAACAGATGCGACATCCCGCTGAAGACCATCGCAGAAGCAGCCGCAGCTGCTGCTGCTGCAGCAAGGGGCGCAGCAGCAGCAGCAGCAGCAGCAGCAGAAGAAGGAGACAGTTTGTCTCCTTTGTCTCCTTTGAAAAGAGACAAAACAATTAAACTTGTGGACTTGCCCGGACATCCCAGGCTGCGGCCTGCTGCTCTTGCTGCTGCTGCTGCTTCTTCTCTCCTCATATTCTTCGTCGACGCTGCAGACAAACCCTCCCTCAAAGCAGCAGCAGAGTAAGACTAGGGTTTAGGTTTTAGGGTTTAGGGTTTAGGGTTTGGGGCGCTCGCGCTTCGCTGAGGAGGAACAGAAGTGGTCTCTTGCGGCAGCGCCCCGAAGGCTTCGGGGCTCTGGGGTTTGGGCTTTACTGTTTAGGGTTTACGGTTTACGGTTTAGGGTTTAGGGTTTAGGGTTTAGGGTTTGCGCAGGTTTTTGTTTGAACTTTTCTGCGACTCGAAAATATGCGAGCGAAGGCCCCCTTTGCTGCTGGTTGTAAACAAAAGAGACAGCCCGGAGGCGAGGGGACAGCAGGCGGTTGTTGAGGACCTCGAGCGAGAAGTGTAGGGTTTAGGGTTTAGGGTTTAGGGTTTAGGGTTTACGGTTGGGGCTTCGCGTCGGCCGGGGGTGTTGCTGGGTTGCTCTCGGGAGCCCCTCTGTAGCTAGCTAGCGGCTGCTAGCTAGCTCGCCGCCTGGCTAGCTAGCTAGCTGACTAGCCAGCTAGCTAGCTAGCTAGCTAGCTAGCTGGCTCTGTAGGTAGCTAGCTATATGGCTAGCTATGCTGTGCAGCTAGCTAGCGGCGCAGTCCTTGAAGAACGCCCCAACTGCTGCTAGCTAGGCACCCAGCTAGCTACCTAGCTAGCTAGCTAGATATCCAGCGAGCCACCTAGCTAGCCATCCAGCTAGCTAGCTAGCTGGCTAGCTAGCTAGTTAGTTACCTGGCTAAGTGCCTTGTCACCAGCTAGCTAGCTAGCTAGCTAGCCAGCCAGCTAGCCAGCTAGCTAGCTACCTAGCTAGCCAGCCAGCTAGCTAGCTAGCTAGCTAGCTAGCTAGCTGTGGGGTTTGCTGCGCCGGGCGTGTGTGCAGGGAGCGCTGCCGGGTGTCTCGACAGGCGGCAGCAGACGCTGAGGAGACACCTGTCTCCTTTTTCGGAGTGGAAGGGAGACGCTTTTTGCTCGAAGACGCGCCGTGCCCCCTGGTAGGGTTTAGGGTTTAGGGTTTAGGGTTTAGGGTTTGGGGTTTCGGGGCTAGGGTTCAGGGTCTGGGGTTTGGGGTTCAAGGTTTAGAGTTTAGGGTTTAGGGTTTAGGGGCTAGGGCTCAGCGTTTAGGGTGTAGGGTTTAGGGGCTAGGGTTCAGCGTTTAGGGTTTGGGGTTTAAGGTTTAGGGTTTAGAGTTAAGGGTTTAGGGTTTAGGGATTAGGGTTTGGGATTTGCTGCTCTAGTGTTGCCTAAAGCGCTGCATCGCACTGCTGGGCCATAGTGGTCTCATGAGTATCCTGTTGTCTCTTTTGTTTTATTTCTTTTATCATTTTTAATTCTTTTAATTCCTTTTATTTTCTTCTAATTTCTTAATTTCTTTTTATTGTTTTTAATTTCTTTTTATCATTTCAAACTCTTCAAGTTGTCTCCTCCAAAGTGTCCCCTTCTGTGTCTCCCCACAGACTGTTTGTTCAGCAGCAGTGGAGACAGGAGACCTTTCTCTAATTCCTTCTTTCATTCTCGAACATGCCCATTAAACTCAAACCCCACAACAAAACCCCAAGGCCCCAGGGGACCCCTGGGGGGCCTCTTGGGGCCCCCTAAAGACCCCTGGGGGCCTTCAGGGGGCCTCGAGAGATCCTCGAGGGGCCCCCTGGGGCCCCCAAAAGACCCTCAGGGGGCCCCTTAGGGGTCCCAAAAGACCCGCAGGGGGCCCCTAGGGGGCCCCGAAGGACCTCCAGGGGGCCCCCTGAAGGACCCAGGGGGCCTCAAGAGGTATATGGGGGGCCTCAGGCCCGTGGGGGGCCTCCCAGGGGCCCCCAGGGGGCCCCTCAGGGCCTAAAAAAGACTCTTTAGGGGCCCTTTTGGGGCAATAATTACCTAGGGGCGCTCTATAGTTTTCGATAAGGGGCGAAAAGTCCTTTAGGGGCCCCTTTAGCAAAGCTTTCTTTAAAAATTCTAAAAGGGCTTTCAACTTATGCATTTGAAGTGCCCCTGGGGCCTCCAGAAAACTCCTCAAAGGGCCTAAGGGCCCCCGGGGGCTCCGGGGGGCCCCTGGGGCCCCTC